CGGCTTTTTTTACTCAGAGCTGAAGGTGTATTTTTGACTGAAAGTGGCCGAAGCTTCGTTCGGATCCTACTAACTTTTTGAAAGTTTGGGCCGTTTTTGGCCGGAGGTGCAGTTTGGCCGAATGTTTTCGAAGAAGAAACTTCGGTCGTACACTGATGACTTTTTGGGAGCTTCGAACTTTTTAGGCCGAAGGTGTATTTTTGGCCGAAGCCCAAGCTTCGGTCGGACCCTGACTTTCTGAAACCTTCGACCGGATATGTGGCCGAAGGTGTATTTTTCGCCGAATGTGGTCGAAGCCGAAGTTCCGGTCGAACCCTAACTTTTTGGAGCTTTTGGCCTGTTTTGGCCGAAGGTGTAGTTTTGCCGAATGTTTCCGTAGAAGAAACCTCGGTCGGACACTGATGACTATTTGGGAGCTTTTTGGTCGAAGCCCAAGCTGACTTTTTGAAAACTTCGCCTTGTTGGCCGAAGGCCGGATGCGTGGCTGAAGGTGTATTTTTGGCATAATGTGGCCGAAGCCGAAGCTTCGTTCTGTACCCTACTGACTTTTTGAAACCTTCGGCTTTTTTTACCGAGAGCTGAAGTTGTATTTTTGGCCGAAAGTGGCCGACCAGAAGTTTAGGTTGGACCCTAATTGTTGTTGTAGTGGAAGCGTACCCTAAGCGCGCCTATGCGTTGTAGTCGTACCATAATTTCCAAGGTATTCCATTATTGGCTGGCGCGGTGCACCGTGGGCACCGTAGGTAGCTCTCCTCTGCAGTCTGCTTTGCAAGCTGCAATGCCAATAAATAATACACGCTGTTCTGGTTAAATGGAAGTGTTCGTTTCACCAATTAATGTTGCTTGTCATTTCATTATCAACTTCTCAGTTCAATTGTTTCGCTAAACCAGGGTGTTACGGCACTCTGTATATGCCTAATCACTCGAGCACCTTTGTAAAAATCCATTTGTTCTTAGGAGTATAAATGGGGTAATAGGGAATATGGAGGGGAATTTCACATGCATTCGTTTTCTATTAACTCTTTTCAGTCTGCTGGTCTTCTATACATTGTACATTAATAAGCCCCAAACCGACGTTTTATTTTTCGCGTCGGGTAGATTTGCATCTGAAAACATGGCCGATCTGCAGTTGTGGCATATTAGAAAAGGCGCATTCAAGTCTTCGAAGATTTACGATACGGTCGATGAGTCTCAGTGTGCCTTGGACGCGGTGCCCAGCTTGTCCTGTCTCGGTCGTAATATTTAAAGTTGACCATGGAATAAGGCGCGGCGTGCTGGAGCAGGCTGCAGAAATAAACGATCTTGTCGAGTTAATAAGATGCCCCATTGTTTTGGCCTTAGCCTACTGAAAACTGGGATTCATAGGCGTAGAACGAAATGATATAAAGGCCGTCTGTCACGATACGAAATTTTGTACAAAATTAAGGATAGTGTCAGATAGCATTTAGTACATCATTTTGTATGAACAAATCTAGTGCTAAATTATGTCCTAAATAATGTCATACTAAAAGTGGGCAGACGACTACTGCGCATTTGGGGCAGTACAATGGCTGATATAACATCAAACACTTTCATTAGTTGATGTTATCAGTTGTGTTCATCAGTTTCGCGAAACTCCCCTGCCTATGCTGTTCTACTTATAGATTTAAAACTTGAAAGATATCATGATCAAAAGAGCAGTGTGACATGTAACGAAGCTAGTATCAGAAATATGATTGTTTATAGGCTGTAAAGGCCTATAAAAAAAGGAAAATAAGCTCAGTTGGATAAAATTAGAATGACTTAAGGACCATATAGGCTTATAAGCCAGTGTATCCTGCACTAGAAGTTCTTCATTCAGCATATGGAGCACACACATGCCCTGATCCCTCTCCCTACGAGCCCCTTCCCACTTCAGTTGGCCCACTTCAAGATTTGTACCAAAATATGCCTTTATAAACTAAACATGACGAAACTATTTACTTCTAAAACAATTTATTTTCTCAAAAACATTTTAGATACACTCTAGTCGTAAAAAAATACATATTTGAAATCACTTAGACCTATAACTAATAGAGCATCTGAACAAATAAATAATGTGCGAATAAATGCGTGAAGTTAACAAAGCAACAATTGAAAGACTACCATTGGGTAACATCACCCTTATTTTTTATTACTGCTGAAATTCTTTGGGACATAGTGTTAACCAAGTTTTGGCAAAAATTTGGTGTTGTTGGTTTTTTTGACCAATATAAGATATTGTCAATAGTTATTGGTGTATTTAGATAAAACCTTTTGTCAACGCGCAAAAGTCACTTTTTCCAATGACCGATCGAAACTGATAGATTCGCCGCTCTAAAACAGCAAAGACTAAAAAATCTTATTAGTTACCATGGCAACATGGAAACTTCGACCTTCCTTATGTAATACGTCTGTACTAGTTTCAAATCTTACTTTTGGAAATAGACAATTGTTTTTTCATGATGTAGACATCATATAAGGGTTGTCCAATAGGGACGCAGGAAAGTAAACGTCAATTTGACATAGACGCCATCTTTGTTTTCTGTCACCGACATGTCATTTTGTTTTTTGAATGTTTACCATTGATCGCTATGGAGTCGTATTCGATTGAAGACCGCATTAAAGTTATTCAAGAGCACCACAAAAATGGTGCAAAAATAAAAAACACGTTTCGCGCGCTTCGTGAACATTTCGGTCGCAACAACCGCCCAAACGAAACAACCATCGGTCGTCTGGTGCGTAAATTCGAGGCAACAGGTTCTGTGGCAAATCTGCTAGGCTCTGGTCGGCCAAGGAGCGTTCGCACACCGGAAAATATTGCTGTTGTGAAGGAGAGTGTGAGAGAAGATCCGAAACAATCAACAACGCGTCGATCCCAAGAATTGGGCATTTCGAGAACCAGTTTGCTCCGCATTATCCACAAGGATTTGAATGTACACGCCTACAAGATCCAATTGACGCAAGAGCTGCGTCGGGCCGATCATTTTTCGCGCCGAACGTTCTCAGATTGGCTCCTTGAACACCGCCAAATTGATGCCAATTTTTCATCAAAAATCATGTTCAGCGACGAAGCGCATTTCACTTTGAATGGGACGGTAAACAAGCAAAACTGCCGCATCTGGGCGAACGAAAATCTCCGTGAGTATGTGGTGTGCATTGTGGTCAAAAGGCATCATCGGACCTTACTTTTTCGAAAATGCGGCCCTGGACGCCGTTACCGTCAATTCTGAGCGATATCACGTGATGATAGAGGACTATTTTTTGCCGCAACTTGAAGGAATGGATATGAACGATGTTTATTTCCAACAAGACGGTGCAACATGCCACACAACCAACGTCAATATTTCGCGCAGAGGAAATGTGCCATGGCCACCAAGATCGTGCGATTTGACTCCCTTGGACTTCTTTTTATGGGGATATTTGAAAAGCAAAGTCTACGTCAACAAACCAGCCACCCTCCAAGAACTCAAAAACAACATCATTGCCGAGATAAATGCCATAGAACCGACCATGTTGCAAAATATCATTGAAAATTTCGACCATCGCGTGGACGTCTGTAAATAAAGTCGTGGTGAACATTTGAGTGATATTATTTTTCATACATAAATGGTATAAATGAACCTTGAAAATAAAGTACCCAACTTGATTTGAATATCAATCTGTCTTGTTCTAATATGCGTTTACTTTCCTGCGTCCGTTTTGGACAACCCCATACAATCCTAAAAAACACAGTAGGGGAGAAGGGGGCAAGTTGTTACAAAATTAATATAGTTATTTATTTGAGAAAAAGTTGTTCTTTTATATGAAAACTAAAATTGGAGAAAGGTACCACATATATCTATACATGTATTATCATTTTTATTTTATGATTTTTTTAATTTTTTGTACTTGGTAATTATAAGTTCAAGTAACTTTGTAAACTATAACAACTTGCCCCTCTGTAGGGCAAATTGTTACAGTCTAAGGGGTAAGATGATACAAGAAAAAAAACTCAAAAACTTCAAAAAACAGTTTTGATAAATGGTCTTGGAAGGAACCTTTATTTAGCAACACAAAAAACATTCGGAACATTACATAAAGTAAAATAAAAAAATTAAATGAAACTTTTGTAAAAACAAAAACCTAAAGAAACTTGTAAAGGAAAGTTAAACTAATCACTATCGGACAAGCAGTGAATACAAACATAAATATCGATATCTTTGCCACAACCTACATGCGCCCACCCTTTACAGACAATGCACTGGATCCACTCTTCATTTCTAGAATGTGAAAATGGAGTTAAACATATCAGACATGCCGATTCTTCATCCTCTTCTGAGCTTGTAGAATCTATTTTTTGAGGGTCTTTTTAGCGCTCTGTTTCTTACATTTAGACTTTGCCCCACTTTTTAATTCACCTGATATGTTTCCTTTAGTTGCTCCCACATTTTTTTTTCTTTGTCTTGTCCTTTCTTCCTCCTCTAAAGCAGATTTAATCGGAGTGTCTGTCAAAATTGCGGAAACTCTTTTCTTCCGACCTACTTTTGATTTTCTTGGCATGGCTTTTGTGTAAGGGAAACTTAAAAGAACAACTCCATTAACTTTGCAAAAGTTCAACACAGGGATAGATTAATGTGATTCATGATTATCTAAGACCATTAAAACTGGTTTCTCTTTGCTACAGCGGACAAATTGGACAAAATGTTTCATAAACAACAAAAAATGTTCACATGTCATCCACCCAGAGGAATGGGATGCACCGACACAACCAGGAGGCCCATTTGCTACCATAACATCCTTGAATTTTTTCCGTGGAAATATTATGAATGGAGGTACGAAATTGCCATTTGCGTTAACCGCTAATGCCAAGGTAACAAGTTGACCCCTTTATCCAGAAGTGATAACGCCTACCTGCTTAGTTCCCCTTTTTGCTATGATTTTTGTGGGCCTTTGGACCGTGGTAAGTCCAGTCTCGTCCATATTATAGACATCTTGAAGCTGGAATTTATATTTATCATAAACCTTGCCAAGATTATTGAAAAACTGCGACACATTATGGCGATTAAACGCATTGGCTCTGCCCATACTAGTAGCTTCGGGTGTTCTGACAGATAAAGTTTGATGCCTCTTCAGAAATCCATATAACCAATCCTTGGAAGCTATTTCTTTCACCTTCCAATTTTCTGGAACAGATATGTTGTTTGCTATCGCAAAATGAAATGCAATTTTGCGCAAATCAGAAGTTGTAAGACCGTAATAAATTTTAGCGGAATACTATTTCGCAAGTTCCTGTTGTTCGGCATCGTTAAATATTTTTCTGTGCGTAGCGTAGCCAACTAAGCACTTGCTTCTGTTTTCAACGTTTAGGGCTAACTTTCTTTTCATATAGCGGTGTAACGTCATAAAATTAACCCCGTAGCGAGTTGCACCATCTCTAATTGACAATTTTTCTTGTAATATGGCCTGCATGGCACTTTCATATTGTTCAATTGGAATAATACCTCTTGCAGTTTTCTTCTTGTACGTTCGCACCATGTTCAAGAACCTGAAAACAACAAAAACAATTTTATTGTGTAAATTTTAGTGGAATGGAAAATTATAGTACTTGCATTAAAATATATGGGGCAAGTTGTTACAGTAACAACCTGCCCCCAAATTATTGTAACAACTTTCCCCGCGTGCACAAAATGAGGTTAGGTCAATGTTTTTTTGGTAAGTATTGTGAATCAGGTAAAGACAACGGCATGCAAATAAAGAGAAAAATATAGGCTCCAGAACGGTATAATATACATATTTATACTACTTACCAATTTTTCACAAACGGAAACAAAAGCGAACAGACAACGGTACAGTTTTATAACTGAAACAACATTATACACGAAAACACCATGAAGTACGCTACACATGAGTATAACTGTTAGTTTACAGATGGCGGGTCGGCAGAGCCAATCTCTTGTACATTTTCAGGCAACCCGTCGTACTCACTGCGCTTTAAAATAATTATGTAACAACTTGCCCTCGTAACAACTTGCCCCCTTCTCCCCTATCTCATTTTAGAAATTATTCACAATCACAATACTTCCCCGCCAGTTACTGGGAAGTAAAAAGAGAGATTTGCAACAAAGGAAGTTGTTTATAATCTTAGACGCGACCTCCAACTAATGTAACTAGCGCCATGTACTTCGGTCTTACCAAATTACCCATATTCCCGTATTATGCTATGCAAATTCGCGGTACGGCTGAAATAAACACATCATTTCAAATATCAAAACACATTCAAATGACTCCGAGGCATTCACGTTTGAATAATAAGTAATCACACAGTACAGACTCAAATTGAATCTCCCTCCATTTTAATAAGCCTCAGAAAGTCCACGCGTACATTCAATAGAACAGCCACTAAATCTCGATACGGAACGAGGCATCTGCATACGGTAACGACCCATTGTCTCCCGCAATGCCCCATTATCGTGCCCTTTTCGTGAGGCATAAATCTAAATACGAAACAGCAAAGTCGCCAGCTTGCGAAGAGATACCAACTCGAGGAGGCAGGCTACTGTTCTTTTTCTGTCGTGATCACGGAACAATGGAGGCTTCTGCTCTATAGTTTTGTTTTTCGTGGTAATGGTGGGAAAGCGCACGATAATGGATCATACAGTGAATTACTGGTGCGGTTGGTTCGTACAGAGACAATGGAAAGCATGAACGTATCTAACATTTCGCTGAGAGAAAATTCAGTCTTTTAAGCCCAGTTTACTGTTGATCCGACTGTTGAATCAGTAGTGCAAGAGCTACTTAAGTTCATTCTCTTACCAACATGCTTTTACTTCATATACCAAAACTGGCGAAGTATTGTAATCGCGAAAATTTTCGTAATTTAGATATTATGTTTTTTGGATGTTATAAGGGTTGTCCAATAGGGACGCAGGAAAGTAAACGTCAATTTGACATAGACGCCATCTTTGTTTTCTGTCACCGACATGTCATTTTGTTAGTTGAATGTTTACCATTGATCGCTGTGGAGTCGTATTCGATTGAAGACCGCATTAAAGTTATTCAAGAGCACTACAAAAATGGTGCAAAATAAAAAACACGTTTCGCGCGCTTCGTGAACATCTCGGTCGCAACAACCGCCCAAACGAAACAACCATCGGTCGTCTGGTGCGTAAATTCGAGGCAACAGGTTCTGTGGCAAATCTGCCAGGCTCTGGCCGGCCAAGGCGCGTTCGCACACGGGAAAATATTGCTGTTGTGAAGGAGAGTGTGAGAGACGATCCGAAACAATCAACAACGCGTCGATCCCAAGAATTGGGCATTTCGAGAACCAGTTTGCTCCGCATTCTCCACAAGGATTTGAATGTACACGCCTACAAGATCCAATTGACGCAAGAGCTGCGTCGGGCCGACCATTTTTCGCGCCGAACGTTCTCAGATTGGCTCCTTGAACACCGCCAAATTGATGCCAATTTTTCATAAAAAATCATGTTCAGCGACGAAGCGCATTTCACTTTGAATGAGACGGTAAACAAGCAAAACTGCCGCATCTGGGCGAACGAAAATCCCCGTGGGTATCAAGAGCAGCCGATGCATCCTCAAAAAGTGACTGTGGTGTGCATTGTGACCAAAAGGCATCATCGGACCTTACTTTTTCGAAAATGCGGCCGGGGACGCCGTTACCGTCAATTCTGAGCGATATCACGTGATGATAGAGGACTATTTTTTGCCGCAACTTGAAGGAATGGATATGGACGATGTTTATTTCCAACAAGACGGTGCAACATGCCACACAACTGTCACTTAGTATATAATAAAAGTCCTACAGAAATTAAGTTATAAACCTGAGTTTCAATAATAAATTGAAAAATAAATATCTGTATTTTGCGTTCATCGTCGTATAGGATACGAAAGAGATATGATAATAGCAATATAACGATGAACGTGAAAACATCTCATCTTAGAAGATTTCCAAGTACCGGCCCGTACCATTTCATTTTTACTACATGGGCAGTACGTAAACAATTCGATATGGGCAACAATGACAGGGTAATATTAAAGTCACGTACTTGGTGACGAATACGACAACGAGTTATCCTCCTTTGGCAAGCGATAAGGGCGAAATGATCGGATTGTCGGGGCCATCGCCTATTTTTAGAAAAAGACTTATGAGTATCTCCCGTATTCAACTGACTCATGACATCACATGCATAAATCTACTATTTACCATTACATTAATGTACCCCAACTACTATTACGGATTCGTCATCGACTGAATCACGGGATCGTCACACAGACTAATCCTGACCGTCACACAGACTGACTAGGAGTCGTCACACAGACTAACTCGGAGTTGTCACATAGACTAACTCTAACTCTTTGGTCGCTAGGTGTATGGTCAGACGTGCTGAGTTTAACGATTGTTAAAGAAAGACAGTCCAGGAACCGGGATATCACGCTGACCAAGGGCCGTTGTGTCAATACCCCAAAGCTACGACGTTACCCCTGAATCAGAGGTAACCGAGCAATATGACTATCATTAAAGTAACAATCCCTTCACACATCCTGCCATGAGATACATTCAGACTTCAGCGATTGCCAAGAGAAGATAGTTAAGCGGTCATTCAGGCCAAAGGCCTCCGTGTCAACATCCAAAACGCTCCGACGGCGACGTTTCCCCTGATAGAGGAAACCGAGCAGTAAGTAACATAACTACCTCAACGCAGCAAACGGGCTCCGAAAGTCCCATAACAACCCCCAGAACCTGGAGGCGTCCCACCTGCGGAAATTCAATAACAAGTCATAAGCCATAAGTTAAATTATGAAGGTAAAAAGAATAGCATCTTTATAAACATGGCTTAAGACATTTATGATCATGAATATAAAAGTATTATGGTTATCAATCCATGCAGTACAGTAGAATAAAGGAAACGCTCAGTGATTGCTCACCTTTCAGGTAACCAAAACACTACACTCAATAGCACATCAACACTGTAATCAAGTCCACAAAGCGCACTACTTGGTCTGAGAAGCGATCTCCTCCACGCAATAACACTGGACAACAAATTTTAGTTTTTTAATTGTATCTTGTGAGAAAAGTGCACTTCTTTGTTAATTTTGGGGCGCTGAATCCAAAAATGACAATGAAATAAAAAAATTAGTTGCGGTTTAGAAAAAAAGCTTTTTATTTTTAAGGATATATTAAAAAAAGTAACAAGATTCATATACTTATAAGAATCACTATATGCGCTGTCTTTTTGCTGTTCTTTTATGGATCGTTTCTGGAGCATCTCTACCAAGAGTCCAACAGTAGTCTGCAAGCATGGAAGGATTCCACTTTCCCTGGTACCTTTTTCCATTGTTGAAATATCCCGATGAAAACGTTCGCCGTGCTCATCACTTACGGCTCCGCAATTGTCAGGAAAAAAGTCCAGGTGTGAGTGTAGGAAATGTATCTTAAGAGACATATTACAGCCCATCTTTTGATACGATGACAGCATATTTTTGACAAGGGTTTTATAGTTGTCAGCTTTTCTATTTCCCAAGATATTAGTGACCACCAGACGGAAATCATTCCAAGCAGCTTTTTCAATACCTGTTAAAGTGTTTTCAAACTGTGTATCTTTCAAAATATATCGAATCTGTGGCCCAACAAAAATACCTTCTTTAACCTTTGCCTCACTTAGTCTTGGAAATTTCTGACGCAGGTATTGAAAAGCTGACCCATCTCTATCTAATGCCTTGACAAAGTTTTTCATTAGGCCCAACTTGATATGCAGTGGTGGTAATAAAATTTTTTTCGAATCTACTAATGGCATATGTTGTACATTTTTTTGACCTGGCTCTAGGAATTGACGAGCAGGCCAGTTTTGTCTGGTGTAATGAAGTGCCTTTGCCCGACTGTCCCATTCACACAAAAAACAGCAAAACCTTGTGTAGCCTAGCTGTAGCCCAAGTAAAAGTGCAACAACTTTCAAATCGCCACAAATATGCCATTGGTACTCATCGTATTTTATGCATGTCAATAGGTACTTCATATTGTCATATGATTCTTTCATGTGAACTGGATACCCTACAGGAAGAGATTCCTTTAAACTCAATGTTGAACTGTCTATAAACAATCTCCATTCTTCTGGGTTATAGTTTATATTTAAAGCCGCCAGTAAGCCGTTAATGTTACTGCAGAAAACCAAGTTATTCTCCATATTGAAAAATGGTTCTAAGTCTTTGTGGCGTTTACGAAAAACACATACCGAAACATCGTCTTCTAACAAGTTCCACTGCTGCAGTCTTGATCCAAGTAACTCTGCCTTACATTTTGGAAGTTCTAAATCTCTTACAAGATCATTTAATTCTGACTGTGTTATTTTGTGCGGTTGGTGGCATGACGTGCTCGGTATAAAATCAGGATCTCTTTACGTTGATGGCATATCTTCTTCCTGACGAATCACTCGATCGCCATGATCTGATTCGTTTTCTGATTCGCAAGTGTAGGATTCTGGGGGTTTTGGAATAGGATTTTCGTCACTGTGAGACACAGGTCTCATCGCA